AATTTTCTCAGTGTTCACGTGTTATGATAGACTTGACCAGGGCTTAACGTGATCTGCAAGATGAGAACTATCTTATCCGAGAAGGTTCTGTCGGAGTTCTCATTTTAAGCATTGCTCCCAAAATAACACGAATCGGAGGCGCGCGTGGTTGCAAAGCTCATATAAGCTGTACGGAAGACGAGTCAGTATCAATGATGCTACGAAATATGCGTAGATCGGTGAGGAATCCCAGTGTAGCTGGAGTAAATACGCCTACTCACACATATTACCCATCTGCACGTCTTCGCCGTGAGGCAGTCGACACATATCATCGATTGCGACGGTCGAATAGAGCAATGGTAATCAGCTCCGCGCGCGAAGTCTCTTTTAGGATATGTAGTATTTGCCGATGGTCGCCACAAACACCAATATTATGCTTTGAAATTATTCTGCTGAGCTGTTTGTGATGTTACTAAAGGGTATTTCCACTATCTTCCGCATGCATTTATCTTACTTGCATAGCTGACGTACTTTCGGACTTATTTGCATAGCTACTGACTAACAGAGTGGCGTAAATCCTTTCCAACTGACATTTTACTGGGACCGATATGTACGACAAACATACGAAGATATATGGCTGTAGGCAGAGTATCTGATCGTAGTGATGCTTAGACTTGATTTGGAATAATAGTTCATGTACATTAGATGGAGTACTTTCGCTGCCTACTTATCCGCTCGGAGTGCTATTTGATGTGTCCCTGCATATATCGCAAGGTCGTTAATGAGTGTAATTTGCCACGCCGCTCGTGATAGTTCAACCTCTGCATGGGGGTCACTGTTTCTCTAATCGTAACTTTTGCATCGTGGTGCTAGCTTTCTGCGCCTACACTTCTGATGGATCAGTCTATATGCCCAAGCGCGCCACTAACTGGACGTAGGTCATAACCGCGGTGATACAGGCAAGCTGACCGCGCGTATGTAGGTAGAAGTCAACGCGAAATATGCGCGCGGCGGGTACATCTTATAATCATTCGCGACTCAACCGGACTCTCGTCTCGACCATTATACACAGGAAGCTAAAATACAGTACTGCGTACAGGCACATCGACTTGCGACGACACCTGTATGGTCAACACTACCATAGACGTGCTTGTGTCTATGTCGACAGCAACTTATTGGTCGGTGCATAGTGCTCACTCTATACTGAAGCTTACACTCGTGAGCGCACATTAATGAAATATACGCTGTGAGCGTTGGTGGTACAGATAGCATGGTTTTGCGTGTGCCCACGTGAGCGAGTGTACGTGCCATCTACGGTGACGCGTATGCGAATAGGAACCACCAACTTGTGCGGCCCCAAACCCCGCACCGTCACTCAGTATACTAAATACAAAAATAGGTAGGAAAAGGCCTAAAAGGGTATACTTACCAATTACTTGCTCTTCTGCTGCTTCTTTTGCTCGATGTACTTGGCGTTTCGGGCGGTCAGCTTGCGAGGGCGGCTGCGCCTCTTTTTCTTCTTGGGGTACCAGTCAGGACCCATCGCTTTCTTGACGTTCGCCAGGCTTTCCTGGCGGCGCACTTCGGTCGAATCAGGTGGTGGGGGCTTTCCCCCCAGAACTCACCGCTTTTCGGCCGTTCTCCGCA